GCAGTTAGATTTTCTTTTCATTTGATATAAACATACAGCGGAGCTGAAGTCAAAAGAAGTATTACAACAGAACAACATCAGGTGAACACACTTGTCCTCACTTCTACTCCTCTGTCACACACAGACTTTACTGTAAACATACCAAAACACTGCTCGTTTGCATGATCTCTGCCACTTCTGCCAAGCTGTAGAGATCTATTCACTGGCTATAACAGTGTGTTTTGTCCTTGTGTGAGGATGAGGATTCCTAGTATTGTTATATTATATAGTTTGTAGGTAGATTTTGTTGATTTGAGCACCCAAGATACAGTACTCCATTAACTTTGAAAATATTTAGGCATGTTATTGATATACTGTAGGTATTATGTATTGTAGGTGTAGGATATATGTGTAACACTGTGTTTGATAGAATGTCACATACTGTGGCTCAGGTTGTATCATTATGCAGCAATGAGGCAATGTGATCATATAAACATTATGCTGGTTTCAGTTATCATCCTGTCAATGATCTGACAAGATGACAAGTCTGAACATGTTGCCACTGTGTGTGTGTGTGTGTGTGTGTGTGTGTGTGTCTCAGACTCCGACAATATGTGGCACAGCCTCTAGAACAGGCTGTCCTTGTTCTGCAGTTCATTCCTCCTTCTTCCTTTTCTTCTCTTTCATTTCCTTTCCCTCCTTCTTTATCTGTTTTGAAGAATATTTTAAGGAATTTTTGCTCTTCCAAATTAAAATCTGTTGTGTATTCCTTCCTGTCTCACCTGTATTTTAGGTACTGTATGTTTCACAGAAAGCCTCTGTGTTTCTCTCTGTCCTTATGCCAGTTGGCATGGTATCTGCCCTCAGGTGTTTATTGACAGCCCCCTCTTCCTTTGTATCTCCCCATTCATTCATTCATCCTTTCGTTCGTTCATCCCTCTATCCAGCAGTCTTTGCCAGTACTCCCTGGTGGCTGTGCTTTGGCAGGGCTATGGAATGAGACTGTGCTGTGTTGTTTCTGACACCTGGCCTGAATCGGACCGCTTCAGTCCAGCTCACTTTCAATCTATTGTAAAACCCATCAGCAGTCTGGTGTCTTGCATTTATAACATCACCCTCTGCCTCTCAGCCAAAACATGGAGTTGGTGGGATGTCGCTGTGCTGCAGAAGATGACACTGTATTTATCAGACAGGTACATAATATAACATAATTGCGGTTTCTTTTTCAACTTGCATTCATTTATATTGTTTAAATAAGTGAATCAAACAAATCAGTGTAATTTGAAAGTTAACGTCCAGCTGTGCAGCTTCATGCAGCTTTTTTATGTTGGCTTTATTTGCTAGTAGGTCACGAAGCAGTGGACAGGAAAGTAGGGACACCAAGATAAAGATCTGTGACAAATGCCAGCAACCAGACCGTTGACGCACGCATTGTGCATGTGTACATGGTCCACCACGCTGCAACAATTTGGTTGTTGGAGTGCCCAGCTTCTTGCAGCTTTAAGTTGATTCTAGCTTTCGGTCTGCATTGTGCCTGTCTCAGGTTTCCATAGCACCTTCCTACAGTACATGGTGTAATGTGCAGCCTAAACCCAAAATATTTATAACATGTGAAAAACAGAAGTGGATGGTAATCCTATAACATCAGTCCTAACATAGTTTAAATTTATAACCATTAAACAGTTATCACCTCAACACTTGTAGAGAATAAAATTATTTTGTTTTTTGGTATTATTTCAGTTATCAAAGCCATGCAAAGTGGTAGAATGTCTTTAGTTATAACATATTAGTGCTATTTACTATTGAAAATAGTAAGCATTTTTTACTCTGACTGCTTTTAATGTGTCCTTCCATTTTCAAGCAAGAGGTCTCTTTTCTGTGTACTGTTTGTTTCTTCTCCACTGTTTCATCTTCTGGAATATTTATGTCTATTTATTTACATTTATTTGTATAGCTTTTGATCAAAGTTATGGCCAGCTACAAAACATTAAAGGGAATTAGCTTCATAGATGGACCAAGTTCAGGTCAGATCTGTCAATGTCTGTTTGGTTCTGACATATGGTCCATCATCAGTTCTGTCTGATTGGCTTTTATCGGACCAAAACCGAGCCAGATCATCTGAATTGATCTGTTGGCTGAGGACAACCTGGTGGCAATCTGGTGTGGTTGCGCAGGGGAGGACAATTGATTCATGATAGTTAATACAGTGTATTTAAGTAAACTAAAGAAAAAGTAATGTATACCCTGCATTTACAAAGTTTAATCATTTGCTCCTAGAGGCAGATTGTAGTTTAGTGGTCATTGATAGTGAATGCTCCCTTTTTTCCATGTGAAACTTTGTCACAGGTTGCTTTTCATGTTCATTAAGTTAGTTGATCCTGAAAGCCTCAGTCAAGGTTTGGCAGATAATTCTAAGACTTTAATCACATGTTAATTCAAGCATCCATGGAAATTTATGACAACAATGGAGAACAACCGATGTTAGAGGAAGATACACTGCTGCTGAGAGAAAGAGAGGGAGGGTAAACTGAAACTGATAAAGAGAATAATATAGAAAAATAGAAAGATGCAAAAAGAAGAGACAAAGTGAGCAAGTGAGGGGAGGGAGGTGAGAGGGGCAGGGTGATGGGAGGAAGAAGATGAATAGGGTAATAATGGCTCAGTGTGAGAGCTGTTGTAGAAAAAGAGAACGGCTGAGTGAAGAAGAGAACAAAATGAGGCTGAGGGCACTCAGACAGAATTAGACACACCGCAGAGTTTCTCAGTGTGTGTGTGTGTGTGTGTGTACGAAAGAGAGACAGAGAATGTGTGCTTATGTGTCTATGTAATTGTGTATGCTTGTATTGTGTGTGCAGGCAGCTGTATTCTGCAGATTGTTACCAGTGCACGTGCGTGTGTTCTTGTACTTCCTGCATAGTGAAGACCAAAAAAGTATTTTTTCCTATAGAGTGAAGACATTTTTGGAAAGTGAGGACATTTTGGCTGGTCCTCACTTTCTGAAAGACCTTTTTGAGGGTTAAGACTTGGTTTTAGGGTTTAGGTTAGAATTAGGTTTACTGTTAGGGTCAGGGTAAGGTTTGGGAATTTAGTTGTGATGGTTAAGTTTAGGGTTAGGGGCTAGGAAATGTATTATGTTAATGAGTGTCCTCACAAAGATAGAAGTGCGTGTGTGTGTGTGTGTGTGTGTGTGTGTGTGTGTGTGTGTGGATGGATGAGTGGGAGTAAGAAACCTGAGAGCAAGATGTGATTCACCATTTCCAGGCCAAGAAAAACATTTTATGGATTTTATGAGTTTTAGGAAATGGACATAATGACACTGAATAGCCGACTGTGACAGGTGGAGGGCTCGAGAGAGATGCTCTCCGAGGTTTTCTCCTCTTTATGAATGTGTGTTTATTTGCTCATATGTTTGTGTGTGTTTGAGAGTCAGTGACAGAGGAGTACTGAAGTAGATAAGGGTGTGTGAGGCCAGGCTAAATGAGAGTGTGATGGTGCTAAAAGACCAAATGATGACTGGAGCATTAATGCTGCCTCCATTCTTCCACCTCTGCTGTTCATTCCCACACATTTTTTTTCTTTCAGTCTCATAGGGTTGTCACTGACAGAACTCCTTGCTCATTAAGAAGATGCTTTAATGCAGCAGAGGCTTAATGCGCTGTTAAGGCACATCATATGATCTGTTTTCATTGTGTACTTATTACAACATGACGAGATATCCCTTTCACCCTCTCTTGTTTCCTTCTCTTTCCATCACAGGCGGAGATTGTCAAGCGTCTCAGTGCCATCTGTGCTCAGATCATCCCTTTCCTCTCTCAAGAGGTAAGTGTCACCACTGCCAGACACACTTAAACATTGACACAACATACTGTATGCACTCGAGTATTCACACCACAGGCTTATATCATATAATATAGGATTATATATTATTATTTCACATTTCCTTGCATTCAAAATAAACTAGAATATATCCAGCATAACTAGAGATGTAATGGCGTTTACAATTTCATGATATAGCGATAGAAACAAAGTCTTGATAATGTTGTGGGACTCTGGTATCTGCATATGGTTATTTCATTAGTATAACTAAATGCTCATCGCAGAATTTGAAACTGACAGTGATGCTCCATCTTTGACTTTTAGAGCTGTTGTGTGGCAGCTTTTCAGTTTTCCTGTTTCAAGAAATGACTCAGACGAAAAGGACACCGAACTATTTGCAAATGCTGCCAGACGAAGGCAATACTAGCCCCGTTTAGGACTGAGACAGTAAAGTTTGCAGAAACATTTGTGACACAACTGTGCACAACACATCAGTGGAGATGGGCAAACAAACTGGACGCACATGTGTTAACCAAATACTTAGTATCCACCCTTAAAGTTTTTTTTTTTTTGAACAAGTAGACCATGAAATTTGGAGTACACCTCTAGTAAAGCACAAATCCAACTTTGATGTGGCTTATCCCTTCCCCCTGTTCTGGTACGCCAAGCAGCAGTTTGCTCACTACCTACTTCAGCTGGTCCAGAAGGCTACTGAGAACCCGACCACCGTTCGGCACAGCCACCAAACAGAGAAATTTAATCTAGCCAAGTGGGTACTAAAACATTTATGTTCCACTGCGAGTGTGGCTTGTTTTATTTACAAGTTCCAGCTGCTGCAATAATATATTATTTTGTTTTATCTCATAAAAGGATTGCTGCTGACTGCCGTGTTATCTTTTATATACATTATACAAACATCACCGATTTATTATTTAGTAAAAGTCTTTTCTTTTTTTTTTTTTTTTTTTTTCATTTTTTAATATGGTGATAAATATCGTACCATGAATGTTTGGTATTGTTACATCCCTAAATATAACTGATCATGTTAAAAGGAAAAATCTATTGAGTTTTTATTCTATAGAGAAAAAGATCATTTGATTGACATGAAGTGCCACTGTAGTAAAATGTGCTCAATGTAAAAACAAACAAAAAACAAAACAAACATCTACACATATACAGTATTCCAAAAATAATGCAATAATATTGCAACAGATAATGATAGTTAAAATGTGTCAAACATGTTAATGCGACTTTGTGGTCAGTTTTGTTGTACTCGTGGTACTGTCATAGATTTCATTTTACAAGAAGTAATTCTGATTTACTGTATAGAAATATTAATAATAAATCTTTTCTAATATCTAATTTCAAAACATTCTGCAGATTATAAATGACAACACAGCTCATTAGCATTCAGTATTTGTCTTGTCAATTGCTTTTTGGGGCATTTTATTGAATTCATTGCAAGCTGCCTAACTAAGTCACCCTCTGTGTTTGAAAAGCAACTCAATCAACAAATGTATTTATATATTTTCAACTCCTGATTTCAGTAACTTTATCTTCATTAAACACAATATCTGACTAATTATTAAATAAATTAAAGCAAATAATTCAGTTAAGTATTGCACATGGGTGAAACCACTTTGAAATCTGCAGACTAAGCTAAATAGAGCTCAGTGCTGTTTGTTGTTAATCATCATGTCATGGCCTTGTGTATATATTGTGTATATATTGTACAGTATATCGTCCCCTCATCCTAGTTCACTATTGTGGCAGAAGCAATTTACATTACTGCATTCTGATCAAAGCAGCTTCTCTGCTTTGACAGAGCCACTGCATCAGCTGAGTGCCAGCTAGTCTTAGTGACAACAATAATTTTGTGTCCCCCAGTGAAAATGTGCTTTGACCTCAACGCGCTTCATACATAAACTTATGCTTTTGTACCAAATGATCTCCATGTGGTCAAAAGGCACTGATAATAAAATGATGTCACTGTCAATGAAAGCAATAAGAAACGCTAATTATGGCATCAGCGCCGACTATACAGAACTTCATAAAAATGACTCCCAGACTTTGAGAGTAATAAATTCTTTTGTCAGAACATCTGAATCCCATTATATTTAAATTAAATATAGCTGCTCCTAAAAGCTTGCTTTGGGCCCTCTTATCACTCAGCAACGTTACTGCCATTTCTGCTTGGCCTCTGCTAACTGCTACTTTAAACTATATTTACATCTGCCTACTACAACATAAACAATTAAGATGAGCAGGATTATTGAAGTTAAACATATTATTGTATATTTGCTCTGATTGTGGTCATGATGACAAAACTGATTAAATGAAAGTGAATCTTGGTATTATTCCACTGTGTATGGGTGTATATGTATATTCATTTGTGCATTTACTGTTGTCTAACTATGCAGTGGTTGTGTAGACGAATGTGTAGGTTGAAGAAGTACACACATGTAGACCCACTACTTCATGTCTGCATATGTGAGTGTGCACTGATAAGTGAACACCCTGGTGAGAGGAAGGTCACAGCTCTTGTCATTCTGAGCAGTATTGACACTGTGGGTGGATGTGTGTACAGTATGTGTGTGTGTGAGAGAGCTGTTGTACACATGCATATTTGCATTTGTGTGAATGATTACACTGGGATTTTGTGTAAACAGAACTGAGGTTTTAGTTAGTGTGGCACTGAGTATGTGTGTGTGTTCTTGTACTTGCTACATAGTGAGGACCAAAAAAGTATTTTTTTTGCTACATAGTGAGGGCATTTTTGGAAAGTGAGGACATTTTGTCTGGTCCTCACTTTGTGAAACAGCTTTTTGAAGGTTAAGACTTGGTTTTAGGGTTCAGGTTAGAATTAGGTTAGGGATTAGGTGTTAGGGTTAGGCATCTACATAGATCTGATGGTTAAGTGTTAGGGTAAGGGGCTAGGGAAAGCATTATGTCAATGAATATCCTCACAAAGAAGTACAAGTGTGTGTGTGTGTGTGTCTGAGTGTGAGTGCACACCCAACTGTGTAGCTGTCTGGTTGAATTTCTTTGTGTCTTCCTGCTTGTGTCAGTGTTTGCATTGTGTGAAAGCATCATTGCCCAATCCAGATATTTATATTGATACATACAAGTGGCAAGAAAAAGTATGTGAACCTTTTAAAATTTCATGGTTTTCTGCATTAATTTGTAATAAAATGTGATCTGATCTTCATCTAAGTCCAGAGTACTGACAAATATAATGTGCCTAATACAACAACACAAAAAAGTTTCTGATCTTCTGATGTATTTATTGAGAACAACCATAAAACCCTCATAGTCCTAGTGGAAAAGGTATGTGAACCCTTGAGTTAATGACCTCAAAAAAGCTAATTGGAGTCAGGTGTTAGCATACCTGGAGTCTTGTTACAAAAATGAGTTTGGAGGTGTGGACTAGAGCTACTCTGACTGATAAAAAACACTTCCTTCAACCCCACTGCCACCATCCAGTCTCTCCATGTTGACGTCTAGTGGCATCCACTCCACTGAAGGCCCTGAAGACTTTAGAAATTCACCAGTCTACAGTTAGGCAAACGATCTACAAATGGAGACACTTTGGGACTGTGGCTACTCTACCAAGAAGTGGGCGCCCAGTCAAAGTGACTCCAAGAGCACAACGAAGACTCATCAATGAGTTAAAGAAACAACCTCAAGTGACATTCAAAGATTTGGAGGCGTCATTGGAACTGGATAACATTTATGTTCATGAGTCTACAGTACATAAAACATTGAACAAGCAGAGCACTACATCTGGCCTAAAAAAGGGCACTGCATACCATCATGAAAACATCACCCCAACTGTAAAGTATTGTTCTGGCCACTGAGGGTGAGAGTGTAATGTCACCACCCAGCCACTAGAAGGCTTCTTTGTTCCTACATTTACCCTAGTGTTTATGTTCTTAGAGCAAGAAAAACTGGTTTGCCGTGTTAAGAAAATTCATTTCGCTAGGGAGTGAGAAAACTAATGCTATCTTCACTTGTATATCATTAAGTGGATGTGTGTACAGTATGTGTGTGTGTGAGAGAGCTGTTGTACACATGCATATTTGCATTTGTGTGAATGATTACACTGGGATTTTGTGTAAACAGAACTGAGGTTTTAGTTAGTGTGGCACTGAGTATGTGTGTGTGTTCTTGTACTTGCTACATAGTGAGGACCAAAAAAGTATTTTTTTTGCTACATAGTGAGGGCATTTTTGGAAAGTGAGGACATTTTGTCTGGTCCTCACTTTGTGAAACAGCTTTTTGAAGGTTAAGACTTGGTTTTAGGGTTCAGGTTAGAATTAGGTTAGGGATTAGGTGTTAGGGTTAGGCATCTACATAGATCTGATGGTTAAGTGTTAGGGTAAGGGGCTAGGGAAAGCATTATGTCAATGAATATCCTCACAAAGAGGGTTAGGGTTAGGGTTAGGGTTAGGGTTAGGAGTAAGTCCACAACAGAATGGCTTCATCAAAGTGTGTGTGTGTGTGTCTGAGTGTGAGTGCACACCCAACTGTGTAGCTGTCTGGTTGAATTTCTTTGTGTCTTCCTGCTTGTGTCAGTGTTTGCATTGTGTGAAAGCATCATTGCCCAATCCAGATATTTATATTGATAATGTGAGAATGCCTCACATTGTGTCAACCAGTTATTAATTCCAGGAATTCACTTACTTTTTCCACTACCATTTTGAATGTTGAATGAGTGTGTTCAATAAAGACATCAAGGATCAGAATTTTTTTTGTGTTATTATTTTAGGCACATTATATTTGTCAGTACTCTGGACTTAGATGAAGATCAGATCACATTTTATGACAAATTAAACCATGAAATTCTAAAAGGTTCACATACTTTTTCTTGCCACTGTATATTGATTCTGTATAAGCAGAGTTTGGTAGTTTTGACACTTTTTCAAGTTTGGTTCCGGTAAGAGTCCTGATATGTAATCATACATGCATTATATTGTACCTTATGTTTACACTGAATACTGTAACACAGCATGGATAATAATACTGCGGAACATGTCTTTCTTTTTGCTTTCTTTTTCTGTTATATTATATATGTGTGTTAATATACTTTCATGTGCTTGTAGCACCAGCAACAGGTGGTCCAAGCAGTGGAGAGGGCCAAGCAGGTCACCATGGCTGAACTCAACGCTATTATCGGGGTTAGTCACCTCCATTCATCATAACAACACATACACACACCTACACATACTCTCAAGTAATGCCGGCTGCAGACTATTTGATGTCTTTGTCTGATAAGATGCTCACTGAGTCAAATTGCACGATTATAGATTCATAAATTCTTGCTGTGACTTGACCGAGGGATATGACAGACTCCACACCGTTACCCGACAAAATGCAGCCTGCTGTTGTTATGACTTGAGTGACGTCAAGAGGAGGAGGACACGGAATGATGATCTAAGACTAATTAATCAACAGCTGTAATATATTGCAGTGGTAATCAAATTGTTATTCAGCTTATGTGTGGAATGCAGTCCCCTGTTTAAAAAACATTTCAAGACATGGTTTATGGACCTTTAGTAGCGCAGCCTTTTTGCAAGTATTGACAATTTGACAGTTTTAAAAGTATTGCCAAAGCACACTGATCATTTGATACACACACTGGTGTGAAATTAGGAGGTAATTTCAAAATATGGCAACATAAAAAAGACAAACATAAGTTGGGAAACATTTCCACCTAATGCCAAAAAATGTGGTAATTAAAGTCATATTTTAATGAATTTGGTCTCCAGTCATACGTATCACTGACTTGAACTTAGGTAGGTGAAATCCTTCACATTGATCCATTACATATCATTATTTGTTCCAGAATCCTACAACAGAGGCAGAGTAGAGAGAGGTGGCAAAGGTCTTTCAGGACAAGTGGCAATTTCCTTAGACGGAAAGCACAAACACATTCAGCCACTTTCTAAGTCTGCAAGCACCTACCACAATTACAAATCCAGATTCTCTAATGTACTCATGGCAGAGGTCAACATAGTAGTCTAGACGTTTATTTATGCCAATGTTGCTGCTCAAGGCAGAGTGTCTGATGGAGTCAGTCAGACCTCCGGGCTGCCATGGACAGAGGTTTGCTGAATGTCCTCCCACCAGAGCTTCTGCCAGGAACCAACAGAAACATGCCTTTCACATTTGTTTATGATGAAGTGTTTGTTCTCCAGACTGACCTGGTGAAGCCATATCCTTATTGAAACCTGGACCAAAGATAGCAAATATTTAATTACTAGCTGTCAAGGACAAGGTGCACAGTAGAGAACGCATTTGAAATTCTGGCCAACAGACTTCATGTTTTCCTTTCTAATTTTGCACTTGAAACTGAAAACAATAACACTGGCTGCACTGTGTGTTCACAACTTCCTCAGGAAGAAGGCATCAGATGCCTGCCCCCAACCTTTGTAGAAGCAGAGGATGAAAACCACAGGATTGCTTCTTGACCTTGGCAAAAGGATAGAGAACTCCCCTGTTCGGACACTGAATGCACACAAACAGGGCACTGAATGCCACAACCGCTGCCAAAGATCATGACTCTTTGAAGGCGTGCTTTCTTTCCCCTCCCGGATCTGTTTCCTGGCAGGAAAATATGATTTAATTAGGGACAACTGTACATCACCTGATAAAACTGTTCCCATGGAGTAAAATTTTAGGTATATAGGGACACAAAATAGATTATTTTGATTTGACATCAAGTCTTCAAGAATGTCTAATGGTTAAAAATAAGATATTTCTGGTGTGGCTGAGACACAGGAATAAATGTAACTGCCATTTCAGAAAGGTGCAAATATTGCATAGCAACTTCATCATAACTTTTAAAGTTATTTATAAAAAAAACTAAGAATAATGGCTTTTAAGGCACAGCATGGTTGCTATATAATTACAGTAACTGAATTTCACAATGGGCAGTCTAACAGCAGCACAGTAACCTTATTCACAGACTTTTGACCTTATGTCTTTCCTCATTATCTGGCTGTTGTGTTACCTTCAGGTAGCTCCCTGGAGGTGCTGCAGTAGGTACATAGATGGAGAATTTTCATTCAGCAGCATCATTTCTCTTTCACTTTGCCTACATGTTTGTGTGGAACCATTGGTTAGTGTCACCCCACCATGCTGTGGAAGTAGAGGAATTTCTGACATGACTTTGTGTTAGGACATTGTCATCCACTATGATACACTATATGAGATAAAACGATCAGTTGTCACTCCTGATGTTCATTTTTGGTCCCAATGCCCTACAGCTGTCGAGTTGTGCTGTTATCAAGCTTATATCATGTAGTCTGGACCCGGTATGAGCATGATCTGACCATTCTGACAATGAAGAGAGTCCGCTGATTAAAATACTCCATCACTGCTTTATAAATATATAGATCAGGAAAAACTGATCATCATATAGGTGAGGCAGTAACATAACAATCAATCAATTGTTGATGTTGATTTGGTTAACTCAAGATTCAGTAACTGTTAGTAGAAAGAAATGTATTAAATTTGGAATAATGGAATAGCCAGTCCAACTTTCAGTCAGTTTCAAACTTTCTGTGTTAAACACTTCAGCTCGTCAGCTGCTTCTGAACAACAGATGGCTCATCTTTAAATCAAACTGAAGACTCAACACATGCAGACACACAATAACAAAATAAAATACATCACACTGACATTTTACAAACTCCAAAATACACTTCCAGTCACATTTAATAGCACATGATCACCCGACTAACAGCACCATATTATACACATGCATGTCTGCACATAAAGTATGCAGACACAATGATGCTCCTGAGTGCTGGAGTAGATGGGGCTTTCCAGAGCTTGTCAGAGCACTGATCACATTACCGTCTACTTACAGCCCTTTGTTCCTCCCAGCACTACAAACACTGCTGCCTTCAAGGTGTGTGTGTGTGTGTGTGTGTGTGTGTGTGTGTGTCTGTGTCTGCCACACCAGCTTGACAAACACCAAACACATCATAATGCTCCCCTCAGGATAATAGTCTTTCTTTATCTGTAGCTGCTCTCCACACTCTCTATTCTCAGATTTCGCTTTTTTCTTCTTCTCCATCCTTCAGTGTTCATTTTCTTTCTGGCTTTTCTCATCTCTCCTTTTGTAATCTTTCATCATTTCCCCTCTCCCACTGTTTTTGCTATGTTACCATTGTTCTGTCTTGCTGCATACTTTCTTTCCCTCTCCCTGCACTCATTTACCCTCTCTCCCCATCTTCTCCCCCGTTTATCTAATTCTCCTTCACTTTTCACTCCTTCCAACATAATTTCCTCGTTCCTTCCTATCATTTACTCTCTAACTCAAACTGTTTCTTCCCTCTATTTTACTCTCTCTGTGCTTTTCCTTGGCTTCTTTCTCTCTCTTCCTGCTCCTGCCTTTCCTTTATAATACATTTCATCAATTCACACTTTTCACTGTGTTTTCTTCTATTTTCACTTCTTGGTATCTATACCCACTTTTTTACTTTCTCTGTGTATCCTCATCATTTAATTTCCTTTATTCTTGTTCTGGTTTTCGGTGTCCATCTCTCTCACCCCTTAATCCACTAATCGCTCTTTCTTCTCCCTCTCATGTGGATTTTATTTCACTCATCTTCTTCTTCCCTCCTGTTCCTCTTACCTCCAATTTTCCAAGCATAATCCCCACTTCCCACTGACATTGTCATTTTTTTTTGTTCATTGGCACTTTTTCCTATTTATTTTCTGCCCTTCTCTTCCTTACTCTGTCTTTTCTAACCACCCACCCTCCTTGTATGGCACCATCCTTCCCTTTCCCCTTCCTCACTCCTTCCTTTCCCTATGGCCACAGCAGCAGCAGCTCCAGCACCTGTCTCACCACGCCCCTGGTATCCCTCTGACACCTCACCCATCAGGCTTATCCCTGGGTGCGGGGGGCTCAGGACTTCTGGCGCTGACCGGTGCCCTTGGAGTCTCAGCCCACCTTGCCTCCAAAGATGAGCGCAACCACCTTGATCCTGAACATCTCAGAGGTAAAGTATTTTAGTCTTTAATTTTCCTCATAAAAACTGGT